CACACACACACACACACACACACACACACACACACACACACACACACACACACACACACACACAATGTAAACTTTCCATGACAGCATAGAGCAGCATTAGGTCAAATTATGAATAACCCGTGAAAGTTCACAAACCAGTTGCAGATGTAGCTCAAGTTGGTCAGATATATGCAGTATAACTATCATTTCTTTAATATTCATAACTAGCCTCTCAGGAGCAGCTAAAAGGCCGGATACTGAGTTAATCATCGCAAAACTGAGAGTGTGTTTGAGTATATGTAACGTTATGGGGGGCCATAGCACCCCCAACCCCCGCAGCCATTCAGAGGAAATACTCGGCACTGTACTTGTAAGACTGTGTACAACTGTGACAATGTAATAAACAGCGAATAAATTATATTCACTTCTCCACAGTCGACTAGTGGAGCCAAACAGACTGAGCAGCATCACTGTGGTCGGCAGCCTGTGCCAGTGAACCGGTTAACGGTACCGTTAGCTTTATTAGCTTCAACAAAGCTAGCTTGTTAGCTTGCACTTTACCAGTTGTCTTGACTTGCCTGCACCTTGATTTCCGCTAACCTAAGTGATAAGCTGCTAAACAAAAGACAGTTAGAGGACAATAAAACTGACGCTGTTGAGACAGTGAGTACACAAAAGGGGAATCTGCACATACCTTCAACCTGCTATGCCCACCACAGACCTCAACAACCTTGGTTTCCCTTTAAAAACAGCGATTTCTTAGCAGACGAGGCTAGCGGCATAAATGACTTCCGGCTGTGCATTTCAAAATAAGACATAATGATAGTTTCACAGTGAGAATGGCTTTTAGGAAATTATTCAAAACATTATTTGTTTCATTTTACAAACTCATTCCGTTCATGATAAGAGTAGAAATATAGATGTTCTGCAAAACGTATTTACATGAACAAAACAATTGATACATTGGAAGAATCCCCATCAGCGAATGTGTGCCCCAGGAATTAAAAAAGCCTTCGGTGCCAGCTGGAATAAAATCACCTTACATGTCAGTTTAATTTAAATCAACAGTTTCACTACGTGTTCAACCGGGTTGATCTTTTTAACATTATTTGTTTTAATGAATATGATGCTTTTATTTTCGCACAATCTCTGGTTTTATTGTGATGTAACTAACAGGCCTGCTGGGCGACAGACACCTCCATAGTTTTTGATGAGAATGTCCACTGAGATGTTTAACTTATAACACATAAGAGGAACGTGAATGTTTCTCTTATACCCTTTTTAAAATTATGTTTCAAAAAATGCCCACGAAACGTGTTTGTAGGACAACAAATCTGGAATAGGATATCAAATGTCATATTTTAACTGGAAAAACCTCGCTGGCACCGACCCACATTTATGATGAGAGAAGTACAATTTTAACCGCATCCATTGCAGTCATCTTTACGTGTCAAAGCAGGGAGGCACAGGTGTAATTAATAGCAGTATTTGGCTCTGACACACAAGATTCCCACCCACACGTAACAGTTATCCAATCAAAGCTTCAGCTGCTCTCTTGTGGGTTAGACTTCATGAAGTAGAAAACAAATTAATACTGAGATGGAATATGATAGGCAGTTAAGTGGAATAACAAAAAGTCAAATGTAAAAGCCATTTTAAAATTTGTTTTCCTTTTCCATTTTTGAAATTCAATTATTATTACAGAACATCATTTAAAGTGAAAATATCTTGAAATGCAACAGTATTTTTTTCTTTTACTTTTGAAGGTATCATTTAAAATGAAAATATAATTAATCAATTTATATTTGATCAATGTATTCATTGATTAAAACTACATTTTCTGTGATTATTCCAGTGGCAAGCAAATGCAAGCACGTTTCATTTATTGTTTCTTTTAATCTCAGCAGCTTGAGTCAAATTAATAATATAATTTCTTCCTTTTTTTAAATGAGTTTGTATAAACATGTGGTAGTAGTAACCCACTTGTCCGTAGAACCTCCAGCTGTCACAAACTATTTTATTTGGAAGGCAGGACGGTGATGAAACCTTGACATTTGACTTAGTTGGAAAAGCACTGGGGTCAATGGCTCTGCTCTATTCAAGTGCCACCAACTGTGTGATCAGCACAGAACAAAAATGAACATCAATGTGGTGTATTCAATTGAGGGTGACTAGGAAAAGCTCAACTACTGACATTATGTATTTTATACATGGCTAGCACTTATTTTTATTGGCTTGGTCTTGATGCAGCATAAACATGGCATACATACAGTAATATACAGGACATCACCTGAGTCATATTCAATTTTCCAACCTCAACAATATTACACTGTCAGTACCGTCACTCAGCAAAATGACAAAGCGAGTACATTGTGAGGTTTGGATTATCGTCTTGCCAATGATATTACCATCTGCTGGAGAGAGCCGACAACAACAGATAACGTTCCACTGATTTCTACAACGTGCTAATGTGAGGCACATATACCAAACCTGGAAATGTAGCTGCAGACAATTCATCCATTATTCAAAACAAGTCTTTTTGCTTCTCTTGAATGCTGTCACCTTCACAGTTTAAGTCATTTAAATTGTCAACATTTGTCCGGTGAATCTTAAAAGTGAAAATGTTTTTGGGAAAACACATTTAGTTGAGAAAACAGAAACTAGATGCCCAGTGGCTGCTTATTTTGAGCAAAGCCTGTATGTGTATAATGACATCAGCAAAGGTCAAGTTCAACAGTAGCATTTATTGTAACTGAACAATCTGTGTTTGGATTTTCCACAGAGAATTTACAAGGCTTTATAAACCTACATGAAGGATTATAACCGACATTCTTGTTTTGCTATAAGCAGCTTTGAAGGGACTGCAAAATGTGATCCGTAAATCTTGCGAACAACACAGTGAGTGACAGGAAACGTTAGAACTCAAAAGCAGATACCATTAAGCCTGGAACAGAGATTCCATTTATGCTTTGTTTTACAATCTTGCTTCCTGGACTGGATCAATAAGGAAAAAAATGTTGAATCAAAATCAAAATTGACTTATTTCTTCTGCATGATAATAATTGGAGTAAGACTGACACACACCCACTGAACAGCATGGGTTGCTTCCCCTCTCTAGTAAATAGAAATCACCATGAGACATTGTTTTTGTGCATCCATAACATTTGTAATGTAATTTGGTTTGTATGAAACAAACTCTTTACTTGATGTATATCATGTGTGTCTAAAACCCCAAAAGCTGAGACCTGTCATTCTGTAGGCCTTTATCACATCATATATCATATTAACATTTGCATTGTTTCACTGTGGCCTCATCTGCATGGTGTGACCCTGTGGTATGACAAATCCAGTTCACCTCTTGTTCTGTTGACACACTACACTAACAAGACTAGCTTAAGTCTGGTAGCTCTATTTAAATGTCACTGCTTTAACAACTTAAATCCGTACTTGTTTTAACTAGTCAGTGGTGGTTGGGAACAGGAAAGTAAATAAAGATTAATACTGTATGGTTCATAATGTCTTCAGCCAGTTGCCTTGCACGTCATTTCTGGTCAGGTGGCTCTGTTAATCAGCAGGACTATAATCTGATATCCAATAAGAGGATTCAGTTGTAAGCAAAGTTATGTTTCTTATTCCATCTGGTTAAATCACTGTGCCTGTTAGTTATGATAATGTTTTTAATGACATGCCACAACTTTATTGATATATGGGTTTCATATACATTATTTCCTGGAGTCTGTGGCCTTGACTCACTTTAACTTCTGAAGAATCCTGCACCCCCTCTGAATCAGGAAGTAGGCTAAGGCTTAAAGCCTTTATCCTCTTTTATGAATCTACCAGCCTTCCTTTGTTACCCTCCAGTATCTGAATTTTAAAGTATTACACAATAATAACCAACACACACACAATTTATTGTATATTTAAAATAGTACACATAACCCTGAAAATAAAAATAGAAAATTGCAAAGTATTTTGTAAAAGAAAATCCTCACAAAATGTTTTCCTCATGCAAAACAAAAGACTGAAAACATGCAATAATATTTTCCAATCATAACCTTCCAGTATGACTTCCTTGGGGATTGCAAAATTATTAACGTATTGCACAGTGTCTATGCATTCATAAATACATGTGACAAAAACAATACTGATTCTTAGTCTATTCTGTCTTTAAGTTACCCAAATCAGCTGTAGGTACTATCAACTCACATCATGTAGCTTATCAACTAAAAGGGGGTGAATTCATGATGTGTATTTGTAGAGGAATGCCACACAGCCAACCTCATGTCAGTCAGGCAGCTCAGCCGGGGATAATGGTATTTAGATGTCCTGTAAGCATGCGGATCCTCTCAGTCAGCAACATTAATGGGGCCATGAGGCATCCTGCTCATGTCCTCCATGCTTAGGTAAAGGGGGTATTAGACTGCAGTAATGCTGGCAGGTCTGATGGCTCTGTCTGTTGTGTAGTCTTGGGGGGATCGTCATGGAGAGCAAAAGCAAGGTGGCCAACATGTGGAATAGAAGGCAGAGTCTCTTCCCCAACTACAAAGTAGCAGATTTAGACATTAATCGAAGACCCTCGGAGATTGCTTATCCACTTGCCAAAGAAAGCTGTGTGAAGACATGGAACTCCATGCAGGAGCTGAACAGAGACATCTACGACATTTATGCAGAGTATGAAGATGAAGAGGATGACTGTAGTCCGTACGGCTTCCTCAAGCAGAATGCATCCCCCAAGAAGAACTACATGATCAACATCAATGTAGGGGGGAAACTCTACCAGATAGCCTACAAGACGGCCGCCAAGTATCCCAAGACCAGAATAGGACGACTGGCCACCTACACGGACCACAACATGAAGCTGGACCTGTGCGATGACTACACTGTCACAAACAATGAGTTCTTCTTTGACAGGGACCCAGATGTCTTCCACAGCATCTTCAACTTCTACAGGACTGGTGTGCTGTGGATCAAGGATGAGTTGTGTCCCCGCAACTTCCTGGAGGAGATCAACTACTGGGGCGTGAGGATCAAGAACACCCACCGCTGCTGCCGCATCTCTTTCGAGGAGAGGCAGGATGAACTGAACGAGCAGCTGAAGATCCAGCGGGAGCTGGAGGCAGAGGTGGAGATCGAGGAGAATGAGGAGCTCTTTCATGACATGTTCATGGGCCAGACACGCAGGGTTATCTGGAACTTGATGGAGATGCCGTTTTCGTCTATCAAGGCCAAGCTGATGGCGGTGGTCTCCAGCCTGTTTGTCATAGTCTCCCTGGTGGCCATGACTCTTAACACAGTAGAGGAGATGCAATACACAACTCCTAAAGGTCAGCTCAGTGGTAAGACGTACTGGGAATACGTGGAGTCCGTCTGCATCGCCTTCTTCACCATGGAGTACCTGCTCCGTCTGATGTCCACTCCTGACCTCAAATCCTTCAGCAGGAGTGTGCTCAACACCGTGGACCTGATTGCCATCCTGCCTCAGTATGTGCAGGCCATCCTGGAGTTCTTTGACAATAAGGAAAACTACATGAAGCATGAGGCCGACATGCAGGCGGTGGGGCAGGTGGGAAAGCTGGGCCAAGTGTTGCGGATCATGAGACTGATGCGAATCTTTCGTATCTTGAAACTGGCGCGACACTCCACAGGTCTGCGGGCGTTTGGCTTCACTCTGCGTCAATGCTACCAGCAAGTGGGCTGTCTCTTCCTTTTCATCGCCATGGGCATCTTCAGCTTCTCCGCTATGGTGTACACTGTGGAGCATGACATGCCACAAACAAACTTCACCAGCATTCCTCATGCATGGTGGTGGGCAGCTGTAAGTACGTCGTTGTAAAATGTAATAGTGTAAAAGCCCAGCAGGGCAGGACTCGGAAGTTAACTTAGAGGGAAGATACACAGTATGGAGAGAAATATGGAAAGCACAAACATTTTAAAATCATAAAACTTAAATACATCACTTAGAAACAGACCTAAGTAACCTATTTATGTAAGTGAAAAGAAGTGCCCGGTCCTTGAATTACTTTAATGCTGATAAAGTCCCTCAATGGTGTGATAACTCCAGCACTACCTAGCTTACAAAACACAATGAGGTCAGCTCTACTACAGGATGGTTCCCCTCATGCTTTGGTATGTGTACCTTGCGTGGCCAATGGGAACATTCAACCAACAGATTGTATATTTAAATCCAATATTAGGTAAAACAGTATAGTCAGCTAACTTTACAGGGTTTCTCAGTGCAGAGTATAAACTAACAAGTAGGTCTCCAAACGTTTTGCTCAACTAGAACTCAAAGATTTCTGATTGTCTGGTATCTCGAGACTAGTGCAGAGGGGCTCCAGAATTAGGACTGGTTGATAGCCACAGCGTTGCATTGTGTTCTGTTAATTCTTTGTTTCTCTTTTGACTTTGTATACTTAATCTTTATTGTACTTACCTGTGTCACTGGGTAAAGAATATTGGGGATGTCCTGGCTTCCATTAGAATCTGATCCTCCTGCCTATACAGGCAAAACCTCCTGGTGGGTCTGAGATTCATGTTTCTCCATCACCACTGACTGCTCTCTTCACTCCGTTGCAGGTCAGCATCTCCACTGTGGGCTACGGAGACATCTACCCAGAGACAATACTGGGCCGTCTCTTCGCTTTCATCTGCATCTCTTTTGGAATCATCCTCAACGGTCTCCCCATATCCATTCTCTTCAATAAGTTCTCAGACTATTACTCTAAACTCAAGTCCAATCAGTACACAGCCTCCGTGAAGAATCGAGGGAAGGTGAGATTTTCCAATAGGACAGTGGACAAGTTTAACCGCTGTTTTGGAAGCCGCCAATATCCCGCACATTGATTTCTTATGTGACTTTTAAAAAATAAATATGTGATGTGTATGTGATGATAGGTGGAACAGGGACTAAAGATGAGGGTTCGATCCTCAGTAGTGGCACATCTGGCTACGTGTTTGGCAGCTTTTGTGGTTGGGATTATTATGTACAAATAAACTGTCAAAAAGAATTTGGAGGAAACTTGTATAAATCTATGCAAAACACATCACAACACACAATATTTCCATTTGATGTAATGGTGCACCTTTTTTCCCTATAATTATCAGGTGGCTTCAGTGAAGTTGGAACAAGCAGGAATATGCTTATTTTTGATATTGATTTGGTCTGGGGCACTAGGGATTGAATGACAAAAGCTTTTAAATTACCATAGCAGCTCTCAGGGCATTGACCTTTTTGTTCATCTACAACATTACTCCACTGAGTTTGGAAGATGTACTTTTCAGAGACAGCTTAACCAGGAACCAGCAAGGACCTGAGCAATTACTTTTTTCTATTTGCAGATGCCATGTTTTAAATCTGTACACTCACACAGGAGATCTGCTGGTGCAAAGTGTACTGAACCTTCAAATACTGGTGCTGCTTTTCATGTGTTTTCAATGTACTATAGTTCTGCCTATATAGAATGCACACAATGCAGTCTCATAAACACTGTCCTGTCAATAAACACTGTACTGCTCCTCATTGACTAAATACTACACCTTCATATTGACTGCTACTCAACAACATTTTGTCTCCCATGGGCGAAGAGTAGCAAACAATACTATTCAAATATTCAATCTTATATTCAAATTCTGTAAAAATGCTGAAGTGCCTCCAGTGAAGCTGTGGATCACAGAACTGACATATTGCACAGAGAGGGAACTAGATTCCTCTTGAATGATAAACTTGAGCAATTATTATTGGCCACCATTTATTTCTTTTCTCGAACACCAATCAAACTGAATACAACTCAAATCACAAGTAGTGATGGACGGGCGTGTGAATGATGGGTTTATTCCCCCTTTTTTGTTGTCTTTTTCCTTTCTCTCTGTCTTTTCTATTTGATTTTGTAAATTAAATTTAAGTAATGTAAAAAATGAAGCTATTCCCTTAATTGTACAAATGCCAAAAGTCTTGCACAAATGCTTTCAATAAAAAACATATTTTAAACATAAATACTGCCTCTTCATGCACGTTTCAGGATACATCAGACCTGTTAACCTGCATACATCTCTACTGACCTCTTCTGGATAACCTTTGCTATTGCGAAAAAAACCTCCTTGGTGCAAAAAGCATAATGTGATGTCAAAAAGAGGAGAGTCAAATATTTAACTGGCAATACAGATCGACAGCACCACAAACTACAGTGTCCAAAATGACAACGGCTGAACACACTTGTCCGACACAGTAACAGCAAACCTGATAATGATGTGAATGATAATCCTCATAAAGGTAAGATAATATAAATGTTTTTATATTACTCTCCATTTAGCAACGCTTACCTAATAAACTGGACACTCAAGTGTATGAAACCTGAGGTGAACAGTAGAGATATCAAAGATGCTTCCTGTCAGACCATACTGGTTTTAATAATGAAATGGGACATGTGGACCCAGTACAACGTCAGGACACAGAGGTTCGAGGGACATTAAGAAAGAAAAAGTGGTAACAGTGTTTTATGATGTAGAGAAAGTCGATGACATGTTATGGTGGGAGACAGTAAAGGTTCTAATTAGATTATTGCTTTTTTTTTTATTGGAAACATGCAGCTGAAATAGCATCACAAATGTTATACATGTGTCTTTCAGAAAACTCAAATATTAATTTAATATTTCTATATTATTTGCTAATAAACAAACAACATATTTATAAATAGATAAGATAAAATAAGATAATCCTTTATACAGCATATATACATTAAAGTGCAAACAAGAAACATAGTAAAAAAACAAGATCAAAAGCAAGTATTATAAATAAGTAAATAAGTAATAAAAGAGTAAAGAATATTAAATAAGTTAAAAAGTTAAAAAAATCCACAATAACTAAAATATTATATATACAGACAGAATACTTTTTGTATTGCACAGTGTATTTATATTTATAAACACATCGTTAGATACGGAAACATTTTTATTTGCAGATTATTGGGGTTTGTGGCAAAAAAGAGAGATATGATCCAGCCTGATGTATTTTATTGTAGCATGTTCTTTGTACATGACTAGTGGAACCATCTATAAATTGCCAGTGAAACTGATAGTTTATCCAGGAGATGGCAGTAGTTCTACCCCGGTATCTGCTGCAGTCAACCCTCAGAAGAAGAACCTTCTCTCACAGTCCTCTGGTGGTAAAGTGACCTCTGCTGCTAGCTGCTAGCCTGCTGTTAAACGATGGCTCCTCCAGTTGCAGTGTCGCCTTTGATTAAGGTTCGTGTTGCGGTTAATATTGTGAGAAGATGCTGCTCGTGTTTTACTGTAAATTACCTTTGCAGTCGTAGTTCAGCTTGCTAGCAACACACAGCACGCTAACCTGCTAGCCGTTAGCTGGGCACTATGCTAGCTTACAGCTAACGTTAGTGGTAACTGATCAACGTTAGTTTTAGCATCTGTGCTGCCTTATTGCTTTGTTTTTATCAATGCTTTTGTTGACTGATATTGTTTGGTGCAACGTGCATGGATTGAAATATCACCATCATCATTGACGTTGCTAATAGCTAAGAGTCGCACTGAGTGTCTCTATTGAATCGATGTAATGCTAGCACTAGCACTGGTTGTTATTAATAGAAATGTCCTTGGATATAATGAACATTCATCCACTAAATTATAAGACATTTTATAAATCATATCGTATCCTTTATCTCGGTGAAAACACAGATCACCGTTCGTTAATTCAGCTGTAACTCATGTTTTTGAATACATTTGTTTTCCTTGTTGTCGCCCTCTGCTGGTATTTACGTCACTAAAACTTGTAAATGTACTTTCCACTGATGTAGTACCGATGGATAGTAGAACTTCTTTTTAAATACTTGATTGAGGATTTGCAGACTGAAGGGACTGCACCACTGACATTCATTTGCATGGATTTCTCCTTTCACAGACAGCAAGGTATTCAGCTTTGATTGCTGGCATCATCTATGGCAAAAAGAGATATGGTGAGTTATTCTTATTAGTCATCATGCATTTAACTGGAACAGTGCACTGAGATAAACCCACCGTAATACACTGAATATACTAGTAATTTGTACGGCATAGGGGAGTACATTGGACGCTTTAAACATCGTCTAAAACCTGATTCTTACAAAAAGCATACAAGGTCATTAGCTTGAAACATCAGATTATGAACTCCAGTTGATTAAAGGGTTAAAGTGCCAAAAGAGGACAGACTACACTCAGTTCCTGCAGCATTTTATTAAGGATGATGTGACACTTGATGCCCTAATATAGGTAATTCTTGAATGGTGCATCTTAACATAATGTTACTAAATGTCATTTTGAAATACAGTCGATGTTGAGTGCCTTTTTTTTTTTAAATTTGTTTTTTTATGATTTTTAAAAAAAAAGAAACTCCTTATTTTCCTCAGATAATTTGAAGCCTATTGCAGCTGAGGAGAGGCGGATCGAGGGGGAGGAGAAAAAGGTTCGCGAGGAGCAGGAGCGCATCGCAAAGGAGCTAGCAGAAGGTAGCCTCTTAGGCTTCAATCCTGTCTAATACTTAGTCTACAGTTTGCACTTGCATACACCTGCATGCTGCACTGTTTACAGGGGGGGGGGATGCAATAATGGCAATACCAGTGTGTACACAATATAATAGTTTGTTGCATTGCACAAAGTGATCGTATAGCCGTTCAATGTAATGCACGTTATTTGTCAATTTATAACTGTAAACCATATTTGCTCTGTAAAATCCTAATTGTACTAATCTCACTTTTTTTTTTTTTTACTCTTTCCTTACAGCAAGTGAAGATACTATTCTGAAGTGAAGCTGGTGTGCTGTGTGAGGATGTCCATGTGCAATTCCCAACCTGTTCCTCCTTTTTTCCCGGAGTAATGATGGCAAAGTCGGGTACCAACCAGTCAAACACTACCGTGTTATGGACGTATTCACTGTTACCTTGTATAATACAACACCTCTCTGGATTGCCATAGACAATTATTTGTAGGTTAGTTGCATGATATAAAATAAAGCTCTTGCATTGTAATACGCACTCATAAGTTATAATGTTCATGTTGGTAATGAAACAATGTAATAAATACATAATTACATGATCACTGTAGTCTTTGTTTGCAGACATGTCCTTAGGTTATAATCAGTTTTCTCCATCAGCCACTGTTACAGGACAGGTATGGCGAACCTTATATTAAAATGAATATTATTTTGCCATTGTGTTTTTATTAAAAGACGAAGGTGCATAAATGTCATAAGAATCATTTCCAAAGGAAGCTGTTAAGTTAAAGTCTCATTTAATTATCTTATGGCGTATGTACTGTAGCTTTGTGAGCCCATGTACATTGAGATAGTTAACACTTGGCTTTCTAAACTGCATGTTTAATTAGGTTGAGAAACATAACGTTAAAAGGATTGGTCAGCACCGGCAAAGGGCTGAAACACAATAACTATCTACCTTTTATTTTCTTTGTGTAAAATGTATGGCATATAAAATGGTGAAATGCCCATTATACTTTCCTCTAGTTTTAGTCTGACAAATGGTGTAAAACCCCAAAACACTCGGCTTTCACAAAAAAAGGAAAAGCGGAAACTAGGAAATGTTATTTGCTGCTTAAAAAAATAACTAATTGTCAAAAGAGTTGCCCATTATCTTACTGTTTATTTACTAAACAACTCATTGTTTCCGTCCCAAGTACATTCCAAACCAAAAAATCTGACTTTACAGAATTATGGGTAAAATCATACATGACATTTCCCTTAAATCTAACTATTCCTGCAGTCCCTTCAGGGTCACAGTGAAGGCCACTACAGATATGCATGTTGCCCAGATGCTATCAACATTCATCTTAGTGAAGACCACACCTCATTTTATGGAGAGGTTTGTGTATTCCTCTGACAGTCACCTGCAAATATCAAGCAGTCAGTGACCTGACATGGCTGGAGTCCAGACATGCTGAACCTAAGCTCCAGATCAGCAAGTCTAGGATCATTTAAACCTAGCTTTTGTTTTCGGATTAGAGATGCAGGGTTAATACTGTTTACATGTCACACGACAGGTTGATAGTTTCGACAGCGCCGAATTATTATGTAGATAAACCAGATTCAACGGCCATGAAAAAAATTGTCACCAACAATACCAAGATTCAAATATATTTCCAAGACAAATTTAATGAAAACTATAACTGGTGGAGGGAAGGTTATGAAATAACAGCGCAGTATTGTCACACCAATGGATCACTGCGCAATCATTCTGTATTGGTGACAATACCTTTTGTAAAGAAACTTGCTCTTGTCCTTGTCTTTGTAAAAAAACTGTGTAAGCAATTTAGCTTGATCCTCTCTAGTGCACAAACAAATACAAAACAGTACAAAAATATAGTAGAACAAATGTACATATTACAGATAACAAAAGATTATGAATGTATCCCTTATTTGTTGGTTGATTATAACAGTTTCTGTAGATATCAGTTAATTACTACTCTCATTGCTCAGTGACATGTATTGTACTTCTCCTTTCATACCAATAACGACAAATTATTAACCAGCAACAACAAAATCTTATTTTAACACTACGTTTAACAAGTTGTCCTTATGGATGTGTGACACAGCTGGTCTATTCATTTGTAAATATATTAAAAAGGAGAAGTCTAGTGAAGTTCTATCATCTTTTAGTCAACAAATCCAACGAAAAGACATTTTACAGAAAAAGTATTGATATATGTTATTCCTCTGCTGTAGAGCTCTATTGTTGACCAAAATCATTAAACCAACTGTGCATTAATTCGCTGCTGAAAATAGTTCCAGACAAATGTGTGACTTCTGTTTGCTTTTGTGCCACAGACAGTGGTAGAAAAGTCAGAAAGTATTGAAAGGCTGACACATTGTTTGTCGTGGTCCTTTCGTGGGATTTGTTTACAATATAGTCATCCAAACCAAAAACAGCCAAATCCAAAGATTATATTTATGTTACGGATTTCCACCAAGACAGGGTGTGTTCAATCCTTACTATAGATCTCCACAAACCAATAAATCTACAACCGCTTCAGAAATAATGACATTTGTGATGATAATTGTATTCAATCACTTTTATCTGACAATATAAAAGTCTTTGAAATTACAACAACTATACACTATCAAAAGAGCTGATGCCTGTATTACTGTTAATTAGAGCAGGAGTATGAACAATAAATATATGCTTATAATGAGATTGGGCAGATCAGAGTTTACCCATAATGTATATTTATGTAATCAGCACATTGATCTCTATAAAATGTATTGACATTGTGCAAAAGTATTTAGAAACATCATATCAATGCTACCAGACTTGATCCTGGTCTAGTGCTCCCCTGTAAACCTCTCTGGCAGCGAGTACTGGCCAGGCCTTCCCCAGTAGTCCACAGCTCGGACTCTGTACAGACCGCCGACCTCCTGGCCCACTACAAAACACAACATGGTACATGGTCTTATTTCTATGGCTGGATGTCACGATGCCATACAGTTTGAAAGGTGAGGAACAATTCTGTTTTGTTAGACATTGCCATCATTTAACAATCCTTAAAATAATTAAGTGGAAATTCTTACCAGGCGAATAAACGTAAGAAGTAAAAATGGTGTCTTGAGTATTAATTCTGTTGAATTCCTTGTTGTCTGTGGAGAACTCCACTTCAAATGTCTTAATGCATCTGCAAATACGAATGAGTTAAAATGCATAAATCAATGCTGTCTTGTTCTTGGTTATGCATATTACATACTCAATTTCCACATAGTCAGTTCTGGATAATACTTTACATTTTCTTGCCGTGACATAAATAAAGTAATAATCATGTGCACCTACTTGGAATCAACACAGTGGTCTGACCAGACAATCAGGACTTGGCCTTTCGTGATCCTGATGAAGTGTAATCCGTTGATCTAATCAAAAGTCAAAAGCAGTTTAGAGTTCATCTCGTTTGAAATAGTCAGCTCAGTCCCATACAGGTCTTTTTCCTGTTGGCCGTCTACCACTTGCTTTCATCATAACACAAGCTTTGAGTTACTGTCATCATACCCAAATCATAAAATCACCTTCTCACATTGCAACTGGAGAAAATCTCACTCGTCTTACTTGCATTGACACAGAAACACACGCTCAACTCTACAGACTGACAAACAAGGACACAAGGTAGGATTCAAATGAAGATAAATAACATTTATGAAAAGCTCCGAGGTGGACTGTGAGGCACATGCAAACGAGGAAAACAATCACATTTAGTTTGACTTAACATTGTTAATGTGTGTTGGTACCGACCTGGTCTGGCTCTGCTTTGGGCTGGGCACAAACATGGACGAGGAGGACAGACGGCACAGACAGTTTGGCTTTCAGAGTCAGAGTGTCCGCTGCAGGAACTTCCCAGGGTCCTTCGACGTGAGGGTCCTGACACAATGACACATTGTTAGTGGGTCACAGCATGTCTAATAGCACTCTATTGAGAAGTAAAAGCCCAAATAGATCAAAGGAATCTGCTCTGCCTAAATGTTGATAGTGCTGGTGACAGCAAATAGATGTCAACAACAATTCAACAAGATTTTCATCCCTAAATACACCTCGTCTCAAAACAATTTGCAACTAGGATATATATATATATATACAGTATATATATATATATACAGTATATATATATACAGTTTAGAAGCATTTCATCCACGCTAATATGAGACTCTGTGTGCATCTGCCCTTCTTATAACTAACAGGAAATCTGAGAGATTGAGCACACCTGGCTTGTAATCTACCAAATGGTAAATTAAACTTACAGATATATGATCTTTATGATATCAATGTATTTTAGGGAAAAACAATATATTGTATTTACACTACTTAATACATGCACAGTGGTCACTGTATGAAGGATGCGATGTAACATGGCAAATTGGGCCAATCATAATACTCCTGACACTTGATGGCTAAGTTGGCTTTGTCACTATGGTAAAAACTAAAGTATGTTGAAAGTTGATTTAGATTGTTGATTTTAAACAATGATAAATAAACTGCAAACAAAAATCTATCATAATGTCAATTTGTATGATATTGTTCAGCCCTCCTGTTTACCTGCACACTCCTGAGGCGTCTGAACTGTTCTGCTGTTGGGTAGTCGGGGCTGCCCATGCTCTGCCACAGCTGGTACGGGTTGGTTACGTTGTTGTCAATGTAATATGTGATGTACATAAGACCTGGACAGCAAACACGAAGATAACAGGCAGCACTGACAGGCAGGCCTCTCTTGCAGAAATAAAAGACCTTTTTAAAATACGACCGTAACTATAAACACCTTTTAATCGACCGCAACAGTATCTTGTTAAACCTACCCTTCTGAGCAGCCAATCCTTTCAGTGAAATGGTGACGTCATCAGTGTTAGTGGAGGTGCTGTTGTCGTCACTGTTGTAGATCAGCACCGCTGCCTGCCAGCTGTCTGAGCCTCCTGCTATTACAGGCTTGTGGCTGCTGGCGAGAACTCCCACCGTGCTGTTGGTGCTTCCTGCTGAGCTCAAAACCTGAGCCAGGATCTGGGTCTCTCCTGAAAGTACATCATATACAGGAGAGGAAACGGGGCTATTAAAATACGACTGGGGAAGATGAGACGGCAACATCAAGGAGACCTGAGCTTTGCGTGTACAAGGGGCTGCTTCATAACTCAACCATACACTTCCACTGAGGCACATGTAAAACCCTGGAGATGTCACCCGTTTTAAAAGTAAAGAGATCGTCACCTAGCAAAGCCAGCAGGCCCATGACAGTGAGGACAGGCTTCCTGATCAGCTGGACGTGAGGCGGCTCGGTGTTGTTGACCTGGAAGCGGGCAGTCAACGTGCGCTGGGTGAAGGGGTGTGGGTGGTAGCTGAGGAAGGCGTTGTCGTTGCTGAGCAGGGTGTAGTTGATGGTGCTGTTTGGGTCAGCCAGCAGCAGATACTGGTGCTGGTTTATTACCTGTTGTAGAGAGCAGGACAGAAGACTGGTTGCGTGAAATTGTATTTTATTTTAAATTAATTTCTCATTTGAGTTGGCAAAAACAATTGCAGCCATTCTAAAATTCGGAATTAGCTTCAGCCATAATTTGCTCTTCATTTCAATTCAAGTTTGATTTTCCCTCTCTAGGTGATTTTCATGTTGCTGTCCTCCATCCCTTACCTTCACCACCATCGCAGCGTAGGTTACATCGGCCCTCCACTCCTGAGGCCTGGACCAGCCCACCAGCGGATCGGCCTCATCATTGTAAACAGGGAGGCTGTGGAACCGGGGGAAACGCTCCCGGATCTCCCCCACCGTCTGGATCTCCTGCTGGAGGATGGGCAAGGAGTAGCCTCCTCCCTGAGGAGCAGAAACAGAAAATTAGCTTCTAAAAATTATTCTAATTGCATTAGTTTTATAATTAATTATGCTAATGGTTGCATTACTAAATACAGTTTTACATAACTCAGGCAACATGTATTTCAATAACATCACTATCCTTGTTTTTGTTCTCGAAAGTGAATATATCAACTAGATTGAGTCTCCTATAGTGAAAACAAATATCCTCACAGCAATGAATATGACAAAACATTTCATATTTTTTTTAGATATGCTTTGAGTCCAGAAAAGTGAACCTTCTTGTGCAGGGCGATGTAGTCGATCCTGACCCCCGTCTCTCCAGTGAAGTAGTTGGTGCCGTTGTAGCAGTGCTGCAGCATGGCCCAGCAGTATGGGGAGTGTGGGGGAGAATGACAGGAGTCTCCTGGACCCCCAAACCTCAGGAGACTGCTGGCAGCACGCAGACCCTCCGAACAGGCATCATAGTAGTTTAGAAACCCTAAAGAAAAGTGTGTTGTACATCAAACTGCAGGTAGACATCAGTAAATAAATGAAGTACGATCTTGTTTAATGTCAGTATCAGCCAAATATAAAGTAAGTGTCCAATCATGGACGTACGAGTTTCCAATACGCATTTATCAAACATTTTCAGATTACTCACTTTATCTATGAGAGAAAGTGAGAGCAAAATTGATTAGCAACACATTTGCATTTCCTTGTACCAATGGCTACATTTAGCAAAAACTTCCACTTAAAATATAACTGACATGACATAGAAACGTCATGTAGGATGAACAATGTGTTTACCTTGAATTGACACAGTGACATTATCAAAGTCATGGTTGTTGGGCTCATTCCATGTTTCAAAGTTCCACTGAGAGACACTTCCCAGGCCATACTTATCTGTAATTAAACAAAACACGACATTAAATCACATTATGCAGGAAAGGATCACACAGTTCAGTTTAATTTCATTATAGTCTAATTATTGTTATGTTACATTAAACAAAAAAACATTTGCACGTACATTTAATTAATGTTTCTGTGAGGAAATTACAACCAAGGCTAAACTTATCCAATAATGTACACTATTTAACAATAAAACCTCAACAATCAAAAACATACATAAATATATATCTTGATATAATCTTTAATAGCAATCCCCTCCCAAGTAGGTTGAAATAACTGGCAATAATCATTGTAAACATTTACTTAAACACTGCTTCTCAATTGCAATTATTGTATTTTTCAGATTCAGGTTTTCACTGACCATGATTACGTGGTATGGAAAGCAAAAAACATAATATATAACAAAATAATATAACACAATAGTGAGAAAACAATGGCACTCACCGATGTACCTCTTGGCTATCAGATAAACCAGATTTCTCCACTCGACCACTTGTGATTTGTCCTCAAAGTCAGTGAAATAGTTAGAGACGCTGCCCATCAGTTCAAAACCTGACAACCAGATGTGCAGGACTTAATTACAGTTCAGATTTTAACAGTCACATGTCACAAGTGCATAACATAACATAACATAACATCTATCCTGTAAGCACCAATCTGGCAAACAGATGAGAACATGAAGGCTGGTGTGATTTATTGAGGAAGAAGATGACTTTAAATGTGGTTCAATACCTGGTCGGAGTCCATTAATCCACAAGAGTTCTATGAGCTGGTCTAGTTTAGTGAAGTCGTACTGGGGTTGTCCTCCAATATCTCTGCAACAATAAAATCAGACAGCAGTCAGTCATTTTAAGGAACCCTCAAAAAACCAGCAACTGATAATCATACGCTATGTGATCTTCAAACTAGACAAATACATGATATTAAGCGGCATGTTCTTATTATCACTTGCTGGTTTACTTACTGTGCAGTAACCAACTCCAACATCCAGTGGATCCTGACCTGCTGGATCCCTCCGTGGGGGACTGAGCCCACATAGGCCAGGTTCAGCTGCTGGTCCGTGCTCAGGTCAAACTGGTGGGCCTGGGTGTGAGGGAGCGGGGGACTGTGGCACAAAGAAGAGCCTCCTATTTTAATTTGTGATGCACCAGTGACACAAAAAGGCGTTTTAAAGATCGACTTTAAAGATTTATTCATCAGCTTGTTCATAGAATTAATATTAAAGTGTGGCCCAGTAAGAGTCAGCCTGACATGATTTAACTCTTGGAAAAAAAAAAAAAGAACATTTTAGAAAAGTCTTTGCTTTGTTAAATATGTTTACTTGGTGCAACATTATTTAATACGTTTTCTTAATAACAGATCTTCTGGTAGAAAACACGTTAATTTCTCCAATTCAACTAAACTGTCATCTTTCTCGCCACTTATTGTCCATTACTGTGTGTTTCGCTATCATGATTGTAAATAACAACCATACCAGAAACCAGTGCTCCTCCAGAACTGTTTGAGATCTCCCACTGGTCTCCCCACATCCACTGCGATGACGCATGAAGTTGCTGAAGTTTCGCTGACGTTAAGAAGTAACATAAAGACAGAGAAAGTTTTCCAATGCATGTCTGCGACCGAGCATGGCAACTTTGTGGGTCGCGCTAGTTTAATTGCTCATAAATGTGAAGTTTGTAACGAGGGGGCAACTTAACTCCAATAGGGATTAACGTTACACGTTATTTGAATGTAAATAATAAAAAGAGGCTTTTAACGTGATCCTCAAAACAAACGCGAGCGCGAGGAGGATGTCGCGGTCAGCTGAGCACGATGACGTTTAATGCATGCGACCCTGTTGGTGTCGGTTGTTGTAGTTTTGTACACGCGCTAGTGTTTTTGAAAAACAGACAGAATTGTTGACACCATTTTAAAATAAGCAATGACCCATTTGTGACAAAAGACTATATTTAGTATGATAAGGAAACGGACCACAACATTTGTTCAGATAGGTTTAAATCATTTAAATCTGGTATGGACACAGTTTGGGCAAGTAGTAGTCATTTTTTAAAATCAAGTGAAAAATCATAGTTTTATTAATGGTCAAAGTCTGGATTTTAAAAAATGCTAAAATTTTAATTATTATTAAATGTGTTTCCTATGAAATATTTACTTGTTAGTTCATTCAAACCAAATACTTGAATGTGCTCCTTGTAGTTCCTGAGAGTGTTGTTGGGCAGATGATTTTATTTAATGGTCGAAAATGCCCTAGAAATGGGATTCGGGGATTTATTTTATTTCCAGTACACACATGCAAGGGGCTCTTATCTATATATTCCATATAAATACAAGTTGCACAGAACTATTAGGCTTACAGAAGTCATATGACGGGTGAAAGCATTCGCGTGGAGACTCGAGGAGCCATTCTCCATTAGTTACATTGCACTTTCATGTAGTATAAAAGGAAGAAAGATCTGTTGTGGACACAAAACGGTTAGACAACAGGTAGCTGTTAATGGGACATTTATTAAAAAAAAAAAGTTGGGAGAATCAAGAAGGCATGAAAGGAAAATTCAAATGTCATTTACAGTTGAACTCAAAGATACTGTCAAACAGCAACAGTTATACACAACCATTTACACAACCTGTACAAATATGTTTGTCCCGAAAATTTGCAATTTTTAATTCAAAATAACTTAAATAGGCTTCTATGTAAAAGTGCAAATCCTTAGGCTGGGGTGTCTGTGAGTAACACCATGGCGACTGAAAGGGTGTTTGTTGAGTCCACGCTGTTGGGTGATAACTTGTAAGGCATCACAAGCACATTTCAACACTGTACGTTTACTGACTCTACTGTCTTGAAGCATATGTATACTGCTTTTAATTTACAACATCCAAGCCTTTAGTATACGATTGTGTAATTATGATGCCTTACATTGCATTCCAGCTTCGATACTGAGCACACTTCTTCTCTCGTACAAATCAGTATTGTAATGACAATAAAATAGTCTCCAATTTTGTGATTTGCCAGAAAGCCCTTTCTCTATCCTGCATGTCCAGCCCTGAATAAAACCACTAAAAACAATTCAGTTCAGCGTCTGTAGCGTTCTTGGGGTGAAAGTTCGGAAAGTCAGCATCACAGCATAGCAACAATACACTGTTAGCTGTTTGTAGTGTTCTAAGTTAGCATTAAAATCACAGTTACCAGAGGCCATTCTATACAGGATGAACCCAGATGCGGTGGGGCAGTAGTAGTCCACAGGTTTCAGGCTTTGATAATGAGACAGTGTGTGTGTGTGTGTGTATATATATATATAGATCGAGGTGAGGGGTTGTGAATCTGCACAGTCACAAGGCATGAGACGACAAAGAGTGGAAAATGTTAATGCCGACACTTCACAGACCCTACAAGCATCCTCCTGATTGATAAGGAGGGGAGGGGGAGAGACCTAACCCACGCACGCTTTTGGGCCTTACATGCTTCTGTGTTAACATGCAGCCGATGCAAAAAAACAACAACAACAAAAGGGTGTCATCACCACGTGTAGGAGAGCATTATACAGCATATCTGCTCATTAAGCACTGGTCACCATGGGTTCTACTGGACAGGAGACTGGAAATGTGTTTGGTGAATAAAAATGTTGAGGCATTTGCAATACAAAAGGAGAAAATAACGAGCATCGTGTCCTTGTGTGTGTGTGAGAGAGACGTAAAGTGACTATGACTTCTGCTCAGTTCCTGCAGCAGACTGGGCTGCGCTCTCTGGTTTAAGGATCTGGTAGGTGATGAGGTACTCTGGGAAGGCCTGAAGGAAAAATATAGCAAGAAATAAGATTACACAGCAGATGTTTAATGTGTTTTTACTAACATTAAAGGATAAATAGTATTTAGGGAAAGACACTGGTGGTGTCTGGGCTTACCTGCTCTCCCCTGTAGATGACGTACTCGGCGTAGGCCAGGCCATTAACACTGGGCCGCCCGATCACCGAGTGGTGTCCTGGCGGGGCGTGGGCCATCTTCATGGCACTGAACTGTAGGAAGGACTTCCCCAGGGTCACTCGGCAGAACAGCATCTGCCTGATAGGGCAGGTGCGAGGAGACAGGTCAGACACAAGTGAAAACGCAGTTAAACTTGGGTAGTCAACGTTCATCTCAAGTCGAAGTTACCTGTGGCACAGGTAGCAGGAGCGGTCTTTGTGAGTCGGGCAGCCTGTGCCTCCACCGATGCCGTAGACGTACTGATTGCTCTTTGAGGAGTTCTCTGCAAAGTAGATCCCCGCGCCAAACATCCCTCCTATGTAAGCGTGACGCTCATCAAAGCCTTTGTGGATGATGGCGTTGATGAACGGGGAACCTGAAGAAAGATGTGGCGACAGTGTCAGAGTGACAATATAAATAGTAATTGACATGCAATGCTTTACATAACTACAAGTAAATGACTGAAAACTAAAGTTCGTAGTGCCTGCTGCTGGCACACAAAGCAAACAGATGGTGTGATTACCGTGAAACAACATCCGCTCATTGTGATGGTTGTGGTTCTCATCTGCGATCTCCTTCTGCCGGTGGGTGTAACGTTCCCTCAGCTTCTTATTTACCACCTTCTGAATCTGTGGGGCACAATATGAAACATACCGAACAAGATGTTGGGCGGCATGTCTGCTTTACACCGAGAATTTCATGTCCACTCACCTCCATCACTTCAGATTTCCGTTATTAGTTTTTATTAATACCATCCATCAAAGAGATGGTTCCTATAAAAGCTGTTCAGTGTTCTGTGAGTTATCAAAATAGTACAGAGGGATTCCTGGTTCTGACCTTGATGATGTTGTATTTGCTGAACACACCGCCAGCGTTGCCTCCGTCTCTGTGCTCTCTGATGGTGCTCTGTAACTGAGGGGCACACAACAAAAACACCATGATTTCATTAACAGGAAAATGATACAGTGGCATATGATCCAATTATTAAAATGCCTTTACATAGGAGTTCTATGCACTGTACAAAAATCAGAGCAAAACAGAATTTGTATTACAAATGTATTGGCCATAGCAGTTTTAAAAAGGACAACATAAACAAAGGCAGTGAACTAGACAAACCTCCTCCTCCACAGACTGGTACTCCTTGTCGTCTGGAGCGAGGTCTATCAGGATGGTGCCCTGGTTGGCACAATGGAACGCCAGGTAGGGGTTGCCACCTGAAAAACAACAATACAGTTAATCGCTGGCTATTAAACTGTTGTGCCGCCTTTTTCCCCCGACTTTCTTTTGGGATTTGAAAATGTCAGATTTTGGTGACTACTTGTTAATAAACAACCTGTTGCAGACATCACAGCAGGTTACCATTCCTAGGTGATTCCTCACAGAAAAACAAAAGATGACTCCTTACCTTGCTGGCCGCCAAGAAGCCTCTCAACACCCTTGATGAGCTTATGTCGGTGGCCATAGGCGTTGATTCCAATCTCCTTCAGCTCCTCGTGACCCATGTCAGCCAGCACATCCAGAGTGATCTGCAAAAAGGAAAAAATACAAGTTGAGAAGTTTATACTAGTAAAATAAACTTGTGCAATGCATGAATGTGTTAGCTTTAAGTGTATTAAGTATTTCTGCGATGACTGACCTGCTCCCTCTCAAAGATGTCCCTCAGATGCTCAAGGCCCAGGCTCTTCATGAATTGACTTATATTCATGTCCAGCATGGCTACTATGGAAAACAGGGCGTTGCAGTGAAAAATAGTTCAATGTCAAACAGGGTTTGTGCACAAATTGTGCATGTCTAGATTTTTCTGCGTAAACTAACCAGTATTCAAATTAAAGATGCAATTAACTTACTCTCCCCTTCCTTGCGGTCGGTGCCTGTGGCTCCATCTGCCACTCCGGAGGACCCGGAGGCGGAGGCGGTGGCCAGCTCAGTGAGCGGTCCGGCCAGGTTGTCTATGCTGCTGGCGGCCGACAGACAGGATGGTGTGGAGACCGGGGAAATGACCGAGGCGCTGACCACTGTGGCCTGGGGCTTAAAGCAGCTGGGCAGGGCGTCTGGTGGCATGGCGTCCATCAGCAAGGCCCGGATATCATCAGCCTGCAAGGATGGCAAAGACAAAACAAGTTTAAAGGATTTAAGTTTGTTTACGGTACATTCTCTTTCCCATCTCATACCAGTAAAGTGATCAGTTTGGGGCCCTCTATGAACAACAAGAAGCAGACCATAGAGAACTTCTCTCAGCCTGATAAACTAATTTAACAGTAATTCCTAAGCTGTCAATGTCCGTCTGTTTCACAGAAGCTGTTACCGTGGCCAGGTCCAAGGCAGTCTGGCCCTCTTGGTTCTTCATGGTGGGGTCGGCTCCATGAGCCAGCAGCAGCGCACAGAGCTGTGTACGACCCTTCTGTGCCGCCTCATGAAGGGGCGTGAAAGCCCATTTGTCTGTAGCATTCACACACGTATTGTACTTGATCAGTAAGGCTGCGATGTCCACATGCTGTGAGGAAGAGAGGCAACAGAGTAAGTCAGTCCACCAGCACCATAAATATTTTTCGATAAAAATGTAGTTTTTTGAATGTGTAAAGCAAACCCCACGGAGTCTGTATTTGATTTAAGTAATGCGTTTGTGTTTATTTTGTTGAAACTGACCCCATAAGAAGCAGCATTATGAAGAGGGATAAGGCCTCCTTTGTCCTGGGCGTTGACATCAGCTCCATGCTCCAGCAGATACTCTGCCACTTCAAGGTTGTTGTACCCAGCTGAGGAGAAGGAACATGAATCAGTTTAGCATGAAAGTGTACATTCTGCATAAGAACAGCAGATAGAAAGAAAAAACAAACGTAGCCAGACAAAACAAAAGCACATACAGCATCAGAGACAGTGGACAACACAAAATATATACAAATCTTACAACCTCCCTGTGAATGCCACATCAGGAGTGTTTGTCAGTACCTGTATTCAGTAAATATAACACAAAACCAGAAACATGTTTACCTGCCAGGTGGAGTGGTGTGGAGTTGCGCCCCTGTGTGTCTCTGCAGTTGATATTCTCTGGGGAGCAAAGTTTCTGGACTCTGGCCAGGCATCCCTTCTTGGCAGCGTCCAGCAGGGCGGCGTCCCCCCTCAGCAGGTCCTGGATGTCTGTGTCTCCATCTTTCACCATGTCCAGCGGCATGTTGCCGTCACGGTTCTTCTTGGATGGGTCGGCTCCGTGCTGAACAAAGAGTTTTGAGTTTTTTTATACACACTTTTTTTTAGAAACGTTTGCTATATATGAGACAGTGGCTTCATAGGTCAAAGTGATCATCATCATAACAAAAACTAACAAAGGACACAAATTAATGTAAGACAATACTTGTGAAATTTGACAATAATGGATCCTCACTTTGAGCAGCAGTTTGCAGATCTCATATTTGCCTTTGGCTGCAGCCTCGTGAAGCGGGGTG